GCCAACACTGAGCTTCTCAAAGATGCAGGTCCCCTCACTGGGCATTCCATATTAGCAGAGTGAAAGGAATAGGCCCTCCCAGGAACACAGGCAGGAGGTGCAGGTGATTCCTTCCTCAATACTCTGCCAAGATAGTTCTGATGCCTCCACCTCATTTATTGCAGTCCAAAATGTCTTGACCTTAGCACTAAGACATTTTAGGCTACCTAACTCTTTTTTGTGAGGAGCTGTTCTGTACACTGGAGGTGGTTGAATAGCATCCCCATTCAGTAGAAGCCAGAAGCAACCCCCAGCTGTAACAACCAAAAATATATCCAGACATTGCCAAATATCCCTCGGGGAGGCAAAATCAGCCCTGGTTGCAAACCACTGGTATGGGTCATTGTCGTGTCCAAGCTTCGAGAAGCCTGCCCAGCCACATACCAAGACTGGCTCCAGCTGTCCTTGCTGGGTCACCAAATCCTGAATCATGAAAGAATGCTCAGCTGTCAACAGGCTCTCTCCTCTCCAGCTTTATAGTCCACCAATACCCCCACCTTTGGTCCAATACCCTTAAGATTCTCCCTGCCATTCATTGTGTTTGCCGTTTCTGCTGGTCCATATTAGCCAGGTCCTGCAACTCCTGGAGAAACTGCTTTCCTGCTCAGGCAATGCTGAGATCTGAGCGGGGGAGGAGGGAGATCTTGAGGAGGACAAGGATCATATGGTGAGGCATCTGCCTCAAGTGAGAGCTCTGCACGGTGTCCAGGCAAGAACAGACTGCTGTCCTCTGCATCAGAGAGGTGCATACCTCTACTGGTCCAAGGGATCTAAGAAAATCTGGGAATTCAAAGTTCTCTGTGCCTCTACCCAAATATCTCCATCCAGGTCTCAGGGTCTCACATCTTGCTACCATTGCCCTGATTTAGCAGAGGCAACCTGTCAAGGCTGTGCATTCAGCTTCCTTTGCAGTTCTGCCACAAGTATAATCAAATTCTGTGCCTGACCTTCAAAAGAGCCCACCCTCCAGCTGCAGGAGATGTGGCCAGAGAGCCTTCTGTCTTTCACAGTGTACCCTGAGTTCATGTCTGGCTGATCTGGGTGTGGCATTCTCTTACCCCAAGGCTTCTAAGGAAGATAACAAGAGTCAGTCAACTGCACTATCCTTATCATTACCATTGTCCATACACTGCTCAAGTGCTAGAGCTACCATACTAGCCAATGCTTTTCCTTCCACCTGAGTCTCATCCCAACCCACTGCTGGGGACAGTCTTACTACAACTGTGATGTTAGAGAGTACCAGGGGTTACCAACACCTAAATTAATACTAGTAAAGGGGTCCTTGTTGCCAACTGAGGTTGAGTGATTCCAGTTTAACAATACTATCTCACACTGCTTTCTAGAGCCACTTCTAGTACCAACAGTCTTGGTTTGTGCTCTGCCAAACTAAGAGAAAACAACTTGGGTGCAAGTGTCTTGCAAAAGGTGAATCCAGAAAGCCAGATTGAGGAAGTAAGGAGAGGAGTCAGAAGGGTGCACACCTGAGCTGGTTACCAGACTGAGCTAGGCCACAGTGCCCAGTCCTTCTATGATCCCTCTGGAGAAGCATGGAGAACACAACTCAGAGCTGTCCCTTTGGAGGATGGAAAGCCACATCATTCACCCACCAAAGCCCACCCCACACTGGCTGAGGGACACCCCCAGACACGTAAACTCCTCCACGCTTGTGAAGTGTGTCGACACAAGCTAAGCAAACTCCCACACATCTGTTTCAAACTCCAAGGAATAAAAGCTGAGAGATACGGCAAGCACTTGAGGTGGAATAAACAATAAATGAAAGGGAAAGGATGAGAAAAGAAAGGGGAAAAGCCCCTTACTAAGAAGTGCTTTACAGAGAGAGGGTCTTCCCTGAGAGCACCCACATCACCTTTTATACACTTCATTCTAGCACCTGCCACATTTTATGAATTGGTTAAGTATTTGCAAGTCTGTCTCCTCTACTGGTTGTGATTTTTCCTGTAATCAGTTGTTCATCTCTGCTCAGTATTCCTAGCATCTAATACCAAATCTAGAACATATACTTAAGCCAGGTGCAGTGGCTCACACCTGTAATCCCAGCACTTTGGGAGGCTGAGGCGGAAGGATCGCCTGAGTCCAGTGGTTTGAGACCAGCCTGGGCAACATAGCGAGAGCCTGTCTCTACTAAAAAATACAAAAATTAGTCAGGTGCACGACTATACTCCCAGCTCCTTGGGAGGCTGAGGTGGGAGGGTTTCTTGAACCCAGGAGGTTGAGGCTGCAGTGGGCTATGACTGCGTCACTTCACTCCAGCCTGGAGTGCATATTTAATATAAACATAAATATTTGTTGAATGAACAAATGTCTCTATCCTTCCCAGTTCCATAGGTGCACACGGTTTAGAAATAAGTTTTGAGTTATTATATGTGATGGCCTCTTACTATTATCTTTCCTAAATAGGAAGGAATTTCCAAAAGAGGAGGGGGATTAACTAGATATTTCCACAGACTCTGAATTTTCTGTACCCACCCCTGAACACCCTCCTCTCCAACCATCCATCATACGCAAACACATCCAAAGAGAACCATTACTCTCCCTACTCCTGCCTTTTTTTTTTTTTTTTTTTTTTTTTTTGAGACAGAGTCTCTCTCTGCTGCCCAGGCTGGAGTACGGTGGTGCCACCTCGGCTCACTGCAACCTCCACCTCCTGGGTTCAAGCAATTCTTGTGCCTCAGCCTCCCAAGTCACTGGGATTAGAGGCGCCCACCACGCCCGGCTAATTTTTTGTATTTTGTAGTAGAGGCGGGGTTTCGCCAAGTTGGCCAGGCTGGTCTTGAACTCCTGACTTCAGGTAATCCACCCACCTCAGTCTCCCAAAGTGCTGGGATTACAGGCTTGAGCCACTGCGCCCAGCCTGCACCCCTGCCTTTATAAACCTGTGCTACATTGGACCCCTTTTGTAAAACTGCTGGGCTAGACTGAAGTGACAGTGCTCCTGACTCAGGACACTCCAACCTCATCCCTGTAACACACAGAAGCCATCCTCCCAGAACAGTTTTCACATGCCAAAGCACAGAGAGATGGAATATCTCCAAACCATCATCCAAGGAAACAAGTCATAATGTGTCTGTCCAATGAGACTGCTCCCTACCACCAAGAAGTTAAAAGCCCAGGAAGATGACAGACTGAAACGAATCATCTACTAATGAAGGTTTATTCCATACAATACCATAACCTGAATCAAAACAAGAATTTCAGCCCTACAAACTTTATCGCCTTCAAACATATCAAACCTGCCCCTGCAAAACACTGGAATCATCTGGCTAGCTGTCAAGCACTGAGTCATTGGAAAAGTCTTTTAACCCCAATCTATGGTGAGGATGAGATGCATTTTCTGTTCCTGGAATTATTTATTCCTAAAATTTGCCTGAATAACCTTTCTTTGGTGCTTCAGGTTATATCCAATCCACTTAGTCCAATGTTTTGAGTCACAGTCTCTTGTCGTCTTAACCTTTTTATTTTTATTTTCTTTCTTTCTTTATTTTTTTGAGATGGAGTCTTGCTCTGTCACCCAGGCTGGAGTGCAGTGGCACAATCTCAGCTCACTACAACCTCAGCCTCCTGGGTTCAAGCAATCCTCCCGCCTCAGCCTCCTGAGTAGCTGGGATTACAAGCGTGTGCCACTATACCTGGCTAAATTTTTTGTATTTTTAGTAGAGACAGGGTTTCATCATGTTGGCCAGGCTGGTCTTGAACTCATGACCTCAAGTGATCCACCCACTTTGGCCTCCCAAAATGTTGGGATTACAGGCATGAGCCACCGCGCCTGGCCTCTTCTTAAACTTTTTAGAAAGGCCCTTACAGCTGAACTCCCGGGGCCACTGCTACACTGGATCTTAACCCAACTGTTCCAAAAAACAGAGGAACCAAATATAAGCGAAACCAAGAAAAGCCACAATTCATTGCCTTACTTGATAGGATTCTTGATAATTAAAGTTATTTTATGGCTAAATGCCCCTAAAAATTATTATCAATTAAAAACAATACCCTTTTAATTGTGGGATTATACTATAAGACAACGTGTGTCATTACATAATTAATATCTAAATCTTACTAAGCACTTACTACATGCCAGGGTCTGTCTGAAGCACTTTATAGTGTTAACTTATTTAATCTTCACAATAGCACTATAAGCCAAGCTATTATTACCCTCATTTTACAGATGGGGATAGTACAGCAGAAAGTTTAAGCACCTGGCCCAATATTACACAAGTGGAAATGCCAAAGCTAGGATTCAAAGCATGGCAGTCTGGCCCCAAAACTGATTATCCATTCATACCCTCACATGCAACCAGGAAGTCGGGGAAAGTGAATGATGGAAACTGAATCATCTATTTTATTAAGATGAATAGCCTTTGAGTTCCGAAAGTTACAAACTAAGTCCAGTTAAAGTACATAGAGCACTTACCTGACTTACAAGAAGAATTTAAGTGGACATATTTCAAGACCACGTCTTCACACAAGTAAGTCAAGAACCTTTCTAGATTAGCACTGCCCAATTAGTAACACCAAGCAAATATTTGATTCTCAAAATCGTGTGTTTAGATCTGGTTCCCTCCGAATGTAACAAAGCCCCAAACACCCCTGGGCTTCAAGTTGAAATCCAGAGCCAGTGTGCTTCTGGCCACCTAGTCCCCAGACTAACATGCCCCTGGCCCCAGCCCGACACACCCCCGGGCCACCTAGTCCCTGGCCTAACATGCCACCAGCAATCTAGTTCGCAGTCTAACACGCCCCTGCCCCGTCCTGACAGGCCTCCGGCCACCCAGTCCCCTGCCTAACACGCCCCCAGCCACCTAGTGCCTGGCCCAACATGACCCCGACCACCCAGTCCCCGGCCTAACATGCCCCCGGCCACCTAGTTCCCGGCCACCCAGTCCCCGGCCTAAAACGCCCCCGGCCACCCAGTCCCCGGCCTAACACGCCCCTGGCCCCTTCCCCACCTCGTCCCACGGCTCCCGGCACCGCAGGGGATGCCGCAGGCCACCGCCGGGCCCTGAGGCGCAGGACATCCCCGTGGGAGTAATCAGATCCCTGTGGCTGGCGGGAAGGTGGCAGCAGGAAGGGAGGGGTCACGGCGGAGGGCGGAGAGCGGAGGGCGGGTCCCCGGAGGAAAGAAAGGAGCGGACTGGGGGCGAAGGTTGGCTAGGACAGGTGGGTACCAAGATGCAGCAAGCACGGCCGCCGCCGGGGGAGAAGGAGAAGCAGGAGTGGAAATCGGAGCGCTCCAAAAGCGGGCAGTCATTGTCACGGCCCCGGCGGGGCTGGGGGTGGCCTCTCGCAGCCCACGGGCCTCCACGAAGCCTCTGCGCGGCCGCGCTCCCTCGGCCCTTGTCTCTACCTAGCCGCGGCCCCGGGAGGCCCGAGCCCTAGCCTCCGCGCCAGCCCGGCCGCCGCCCTGGAGCGCCGCGCTTACCTCGGCCACGGCTGCCTCCCGCTCGGCCCCGCGCTCGGTCACCGGCTCATGCCGCGGGGCACGGGCCACCTCCGCCCGGGTCGGATCTCGCCGATTCGCCAGCCACCACCTCCAGGGCCGAGTCTGGGCGAGCCAGCAGCGAGCTCGGGGAGGGTGACCGGGCTCCGGGGCGTCTGACACCGAGCGCACTGCGCATGCGGGAGCGGCCAGGCCGCGCCTCCTGGTGGACAGGAGGAGTCAGGGCACCGCTGCAGTGTTTTCCCAGTCAGGCTCCGCAGTGAAATGCTCAGATAACCCTCATTCATAATTAAAGAATCCTTAGGCCGGGCGCGGTGGCTCACGCCTGTAATCCCAGCACTTTGGGAGGCCGAGACGGGCGGATCACGAGGTCAGGAGATCGAGACCATCCTGGCTAACACGGTGAAACCCCGTCTCTACTAAAAAATACAAAAAACTAGCCGGGCGAGGTGGCGGACGCCTATAGTCCCAGCTACTCGGGAGCCTGAGGCAGGAGAATGGCGTGAACCTGGGGGGCGGAGCTTGCAGTGAGCTGAGATCCGGCCACTGCACTCCAGCCTGGGAGACAGAGCGAGACTCCGTCTCAAAAAAAAAAAAAAAAAAAAAAAAAAAAAAAATCCTAAACCCAAACAAGACACCACGCGTCGCTTATAAAACTAACAAATATGTAGTCGTTTTATTATAATCAGTTCTGGTGAGGGTACAACATTCCTGGAGGGCAATTTGGTACTATCCATCAAATGGAAAATTCTGGTACCCTTCGGTCCAACAAGCTCTCTGTGGATAGGATATTCTCAACAATGTTTGCCAAAAATTTCCGCGACAGCATTCTTTCTAATCATAGCGAAATGCTAGACACAATCGAAATAAATTATGGAATTTGATTAGTGATTCGAATGTGAGAGGGTGCAATATATATGGGTAAGGAAATATCTCCAAGATATTAGTTAATATGAAAGCGTAGTCCAAAACAGCAGGCAAGTACGATCACTTTTAGGTAAACTACGCATATGCAAAAACAAAAGGGAGAAATATGTAAGGAAGGTGCTTATATTCAGGCATGTATATAACTTTTTTTCTGGAAGGAATGCAAGAAGAAATGAAGAGCTTCAGGTGGAGTAGTTGTCGTGGCAGAAATGGAAGCATTTATGGCCAGGCAAGGTGGCTCACGCCTGTAATCCCAGCATTTTGGGAGGTCTAAGCGAGAGGATCGCTTGAGCCCAAGAGTTTGAGACCAGCCTGGGCAGCACAGTAAGACCCCGTCTCTACAAAAAATACAAAGTTAGCCAGGCATGGTAGCACCCGCTTGCAGTCCCAACTACTCAGGAGGGAGAGGCAGGAGGATTGCTTGAGCCCAGGAGGTCAAGGCTGCAGTGGGCCGTGGTCATGCCACTGCACTCCAGCTGGGGTGTTAGAGCAAGACCCCGTCAAAAAAAAAAAAAAACCCGCATTTTTTTGTATCTTTCTATATTATTGACATGATTTAGCGCTATACATGCACAGTAAAACCGCTGTCATAAAGCAGTAAGTGGAATCTAAAAAATTAAATGAAAATTCCGAGTGACGTTATTGAGAGGTTAATGAAATGACCCCGGGCCTGTGATGCTGGTTTGATAGAGCTGTGGGTCTGGCTGCATGATCCAAATCCCTTCTGTTCCTACATGTACTTTGGCGCCATCTGGTGGAAGTTGTCACTGATAGCTTCAATATTCACAGTGATTATTCTGAGACTAGACACCTACAGAGGCTTCCGGCAGCAACCATGATTCCAGGAATATTTTTGTGATTAATGCCTGATTGTCACAGGTCTAGGGAGATTGGGATGAGGGCATTCTGGGAATGGGACATTCATGTTCTGCTTCCCCACATCTAAGGGGCATTGCTCTGCTTTCCAAATCAAATCCCCCCCTGCAAATGATACAAAATGTAGCACACATACACCCCATTTGAGAACTGGATGAGTGGAGAGCAGTGACGATCACCAGTGGAACTGTATCCAAATTTCTCTTATCCCAGGGAATATTGTTTTCACTTTTTAAAATAAGTCAACAATAGCCATCTGGTCCGGAAGACTGTGACCTCTTTTTTTCTTCTCCATATTTATCTGTATTTTAAAACATGCATATTTTAAATTAATCCTTTGTTCTTTTATAAAATGAGAATTTGCCATGTTAAAGAATTGTGTGAGGCATAGCTTTTGAGAAAGGCTGCCTATCTTATTCACTTTTTATAACCTTAAATTTGCCTAATGCCTGGCATATAGTAATTGCTCAATAAATATTTGTTGAATGGAGAAAGATGCCTAGGCACTGGGAGTAGCTACCTAGAAATAAGACAATAAAATTACTCATAGGAGAAGGTAAAAAGTGGCATAGGAGAATATAAACAAAATGCTACAGAATTAAAAAAAGAAAGAGGTCACATCCAGTTGGAAAGATCTAGGAAGATTTCAATCAACAGTTGATATCTTTATTTATCCTGGAGGATACTTATGATTTTGACAAGCAGAGAGGTGAAAAGGGCATTTCAGGCAGAGAAAGAAAGTCAAGAGCATGTGTTAAAGAAGGAAAAGCAGTTAGGCAGAGTGGCTCACACCTGTAATCCCAGCACTTTGGGAGGCCGAGGCAGGAGGATTGCTTGAGACCACAAGTTCAAGACCAGCCTAGATAACAAAGTGAGACCCCCATCTCTGGAAAAAAAAAAAAGTAATAAATAAAAATAAAGAAGGAAAAGCATCAGAAAGAGCAAGTGTTTTTCAATCCAGTGTGGTTTACACAGTGTGGCTACATTCCTAGGCATGGAAACCATGCAAGTAAGGGAGGTGGGAAAATATAGAAGCCATGAAATTAGAAGCTACATGTTGCGAAAGTATCCAAGGATGACTTCAGGGAGGAGTGGGAAATAAATTATAAGCCAAGACCTGAAGTTTCTGAGAAGGCAGAAAAGTGTCTTAGTAGTTGGTGGTTGAAGAAGGAGAGGCTGTAGAAAGATACTGCATTACTGAATTTGAAGGTACAGGGCAAAGCAATGATTACACAAATACCCCCTTACCCAGTGAGTCAGGAAATATGAAAGTCAGGGTTAGAAAGGGAATGGCTTTCATGGAAAATAGTGTCATCAGGGGAAAGTGAGTTTCCAATTAGGAGAAATAGCTGGTGTAGGGTTGAATCCCATACTTAGCACTTCCTCTAAATACAGTTGATTCTTGAACAATACAGGTTTAAACTTTGCAGATCCACTTCTGTGCAGATTGTTTTTCAGTAAAAGTTACACCAAGTGTGCCTGCTTCTCCAGCTTCTCTTTCCACCTCTGCTACCTATTCTACCTCTGCCACTCCTGAGACAGTGAGACCAACACCCCTTCCTTCTCCTCCTTGGCCTACTACTCACCATGAAGATGAGGGGGATGAAGATCGTTATGATGATTTACTTCCACTTAATGAATAGTAAATATATTTTCCTTCCTTGTGATTTTCTTAATAACATTTTCTTTTCTCTTGCTTACTCTATTGTAAGAATACAGTATTATATATATATAAAACATATAAAATATGTTTAATAGACTATTTACATTATCAGTAAGGCTTCCAGTCAACAGAAGGCTATTAGTAGTTAAGTTTTGGGGGAGTCAAAAGTTAAATATAATTTTTCAACTGCTTAGGGGATTGGCGCCACAACCCCCACATGATTCAAGAGTCTGCTGTAACAGAGGAATACAAGACTGGAAAAAGGCATATTCTCTAAAGAAAAGGGCTCCATAATACAATTGATCTGTGGGATCTTAGGGTGGCTTAGCTTAAAACAGCACTGGCAGGCAGCATGGTAGGCTAGAAAACACCTAACCAGGTGAAATGTAAGGAATACGTTCTCAAGTGAATAGCTGAGCTCACGCCCAAAAAAAAGGAAGGAAAATCTCCACAGTTAAAAATGAAGGTGAAATAACAAAAATGATATTGAAGCTATAACTATCAGGCATACAAGGTAGGGAGCTGATGCAAAGAAACCCATAAAGCTAGGGTCTTAAAGAATTACACCCAAAAGGGAATACTGGAAAACTTTGCTCAACATCCACCAAAGAAACTTACCTGTTTTGTCCAGGGAGTGGAAAAAAAAAAGTCTCATTGATTGATGACCTCTAACATTCATGTCTTAGTCATTTCGGGCTGCTATAACAAAAATGCCACAGACTGGGTGGCTTAAACAACAGGAATTTATTTCTCCCAGCTCTAGAAGCGGGGAAGTCCAAGATCAAGGTGCTGGCCAATTTGGTTCCTGGTGAGGGCTCTTTTCCTGGTTTGCAGAGGGTTACCTTTTTGCTGTATTCTCATATGGTAGAGAAAAAGGCCTTTCTGTATCTCTTCTTTTCAGGGCACTAATCCCATTCATAAGGATTCCACCCTCAAGACCTAATTACATCCCAAAGGCCCCACCTCCAAATATCATCACATCGGGTGGACTTCAATATATGAATGAGGTGTGGGAGGGGATGAACATTCAGTTCATAGCCATCAAGCTTTATGACCATCTGGGGTTTGAATTTATACTACCAGCATGGTCTAGGAAGCTCCAAGCCAAGATGGTAACATACAGTATTCCCAGGTTGGTAGCACCCAAAGACACGCAACAGAAG